GAGAGAGAGAGAGAGAGAGAGAGAATGAGATCTATGATCCTTTGTGGATCTTACCTAAATGATTTAATATTGTTGCACAGTGAACGCTATACAAATAAACATGCAGCTCGGTTAACAATAAAAAAAAGTTTTCCTTTATTTATTATTTAACATCTTTCCACAAATATACATCTGAAGTAGCCTGAGTTTATTAATTTTCAGTGCCCCATAATTAAACATCAGTTGTTTGCTTTAAGGATATATCTGTTTTGTTTTAGATTTGGTTTTTGTGGGGATTTTTATGATAATCTTCTCAGTTTCCAAGTTCTCAAAGACATTTACAAAGTAAACCCCATTAGTGTACAGGAGACAGAATATGTGACAGTTTAATCTGTTTTTAAAGGAACAGGTCTATAAATTTGTGAAGACTGAAAACCAGGAAATATTCTTGATGTGACTTGAATATTCCATCCTCTTCCACTTATCTGATTCAGGGTTACCTATCTCAGACAGATTGAGAGGCAGGGAACACTTTGAACAGGTTACTAGATTATCACAAGATTCACACGTAGAGAAAGACAACCATTGACACCTACAGCCACCAAATAACCCAACCCAGGCATGTCTTTGTGAGAAGACATTGTATCCAAAAACAAGCTACAAAAACACAGGGGGGAAAAAACACGGCATTAACAATATTTAAAACCGTCTCATACCTAAAGACACAGGAGAAAACACAGATAACAGATTATTTATATTTCCTTTGCTGAACAGCACTGTTGCGAACGTCTCAACATCTTCAGCACAGTTGCAGTTTTGCAAACAAGAACATGTAAAATTTGTCTTTTAGGAAGAACGTGGGGATAGAAGTGTTTAGTGTCAGAAAAGGAGGTGTCCCCATTACATTTATTACATCACCTGACCTATAAACATGAGCACAAAAGTCAACCACTGAAACTAATTTTTCTGTTCAGCACTGCAAATAAATAGCTTTCATTTGTTATCTTAATAAAAAGCTTTTTTTGTAAATTCAAGGATGACAACAATAATTATATTTTCGCATTAAATAAGTACACTGGTGAATTTACTATTAGACAAACATAAGTCATTTTGCTAATCATCAGTATTGTTAATTTAGTGTAACTGTGGCATAAACCTCACATTTAGGTGGTGTTTTAATAAATTTGTTAAGCATTGTATATCCTGCTCTCGGTGTCAGTTTGCATTAATTTGTTGGGAAATGCCCTCTAAAAGCGAGAAAATGCAGTAAATTATTTTATGATTTCATCTCATGAGGGTAAAAGTTTGTTTGGAGAGGATAAATTCTTCAGGGAGCTTAAAACCCCACCAGGTGACAAACAAGCTCCTACACATCCTGTAGCCTAATCCTCTTACAGAACTGGAAAAATAACCCATGGAAAAATCGTGAACTCTGCTTAAAGCGGCTATGGATAGACAAAAGTCTCCTTCAGAGAAATCACATGAAGAGTGGTAAGTCGAGCCCTTAAGTTGGCCCAGTTAAGAAACACGCAATCTCCTCAGTGTGACAATTAATCATCACTGACGTTCTGATGATTAACCAGCCAGAAAATAATTTTCCAAATATCTATACCTACGTTATTGTGTTTATTCCAACCCAGTCGCGTCACTTTATGAAACTTAAACCTCACTTTACAGCAGGCGAACACGAGTTTGGTGTGGGAACTAAGCAAATCCAAATCGGTTGGTCTGATGGAGGCAAGACGATTATCCCTCCTGTAAATATGTTTATGGTTCAGTTTACTCACGGGGAGTAAAGGGTTTATCCATACAGCTCACTTCAGGATTACAAACGGTATAAATACTGGAAGCGCTCCACTCTGTTCAGTCTGCGCCAGTTCTCGCTGTACAGTTACGCGCGGATCACGGACACCCAGACAAGTTTCATCTCGTTGTTTAAAAAGAGACTGACACGAAATCAGACAGGAAATTGTCAGCGCAGCACTCTTAGCTTTCCTGCGAAACTTTCTGGGAATAATCAGGACTATGTCTGTGGTGAGCGCAGTGCCTTTCCTGAAGCCTCTCCCCATGCGCTCTCCGGTGCCTCAGGGCCGCCGCCACACGCTGCCGGCCAGCGAGTTCCGCTCCCTCAGCCCGGAAGATGCCATCAGTGTGTTCGAGATTGAAAGAGAAGGTAAGCAGACTCTTTGAATTTACGTTACAGAGCAACGGTGCTTTTAAATACCTGCCTGAATTTCTTCAGAGGACGCGCGTATTTATGCAGATTTACGCACGCCAAGCGTCTTTTAAGAAAACTGCGGGGAGAGATTCTCAGCTAAAAACACAGATTTTATTTATGTTCTCCGACTGAATAGAAAGCTCTCTACAAACCTGAGCCATCACTGATTTTATTCACGGGCAGATTCTCTTCAGTTAACTGTCCTGTACACTTTCCTTGTGCTTAGCAGTCAGTACATTTGGGAACATCACGCTCAGCTTCTTTAACATCCTGCACAACTAATAAAACTGTCTGATTGTGGCAACCGTGACCCTTATCTTCTTCCTCCTCCTCACACAGCTTTCATCTCTGTCTCCGGTGAGTGTCCTCTCCACCTGGACGAGGTGCGTCACTTCCTTACTCTGTGTCCTGAGCTGTCTCTTGGCTGGTTCGAGGAGGGACGGCTGGTGGCTTTTATCATCGGCTCACTGTGGGACCAGGAGAGGCTTACCACGGTAAGACGGAGCGGAAGACACCTGGACAGTGATTTATCTCCGGTTGAGAGTCGAGCAAAGATTCAACACAGATTAAGAGAGGCGCTTCAAGTGCATAAAATTCAGTGGATGGTGATAAATCTTGCCGACATACGAGTTTAGTGCCAACCGAAGAGAGAACAACAATAATCATGGAAGCTGCCTGACAATTTCTTTTAAGCCTGCAGCTGTACGAGTTTTAAGTTTCCACCTAGCAGAAACAATAAAAAAAAAAATCAGATCTTAAATTTCTTCATGATGACACAGTTATGTGAATCCAACCAAGAATGAAAGACTGTGTTTGCTATAAACATTTAATATTCGAGGACTGCAGGCTGGAGTCAACATGTAGCTGATTTATTTTCAAAATATTTTAGTTTTTGAAATAACAAACTGCAGCTTTTAATCCCAAATACAATCATCATTATCATTCAAGAGTTTATTCATCATCTTTTAATTCTCATACTTTTCATTCTTTCAACTAAAAGTTATGATGATGAATCCTGCTGACGTCATTTTAACTCCAATATGAAATTATTTTTAATGAAACCAGAGTCATTTAAACTTGAGCCCTTCATTTAGCTTTAATTATTAAAGATGGTTTTTGGGGGTCTTTTAAGCTTTAAATATTTCTGTGGGTACCCAGCAGGATGTTTTACTTCTACTGACAGCTCTCCTCTTCCTCTCCAGGACGCCCTTACGCTACACAAGCCTCACGGGACCACCGTTCACATCCACGTTTTGGCCGTCCACCGGACCTTCCGCCAGCAGGGAAAAGGCTCCATCCTGATGTGGCGTTACCTGCAGTACCTCCGCTGCCTGCCCTACGTCCGCCGTGCCGTGCTCATGTGTGAGGACTTCTTGGTCCCCTTCTACCAGAAGTCAGGCTTTAAAATGCTAGGCCCCAGCAACATCACGGTGGGGCCCCTTAACTTCACAGAAATGTTCTACCCCGTGAGGGGCCACGCCTTCATGCGGCGCAACAGTGGCTGCTGAAGACACAGACTTGATGTGGATTCTCTATAGCTGTGAAAGGAGGTGAAGACCCCTGAGAAACGGGGTACAGGGGGCACGTGATGAGCGGTGCAGTGAGTGTTTGGGATCATCGCTGTCTGTGAGTGAAGCCTGTTTGGCAGGAAGTGACGTGTGAATTCTGACCCGGAGTCTGCAGAGAGCCAAAAACAGAGAGATGTCGACAGCAGCGGTTTGCAAAAGTGTCCTGAAAGCAAGTTTTGATTTGCATTTTAGTGAGTTCGTTACACAAAAACCAAAATCCCAAATCTTTATTTTGATAAACGCTGGACATTTATTGTGTCCAACAGAACTGCTGCCTTCTTTATTTCTTTTATTTTTTTTAAACAGTGAGGACACGTTTAAATAAAACTAATTCCTTTAGTAATTCTCCAATAATATGTAACAGCAGTTAAAATGACAAAGGAGGGATATCAGCAAGGCTAAATATTAACATTTAACTTATATTAAGACTTCAGTGATCCCGTGACTGACCGTTTATAAATCGGACGTGTGGCACTTTAAAAGTCTTGTAGACAGCCTCCATTTTTGCCTCGGAGTCTTAAATCAAGACAAACTCATTTTTACGCTGTTTTGTCCTAATAAAAATTTTATTTTCTAACCTCTCTGTCTTCATATGTTATTTACATTTTTAATTACTGCTGAACATGAAAGGGGGATGTTCATTTTTACATTTTTCTATTTTTCTGGGCTTGCTGAGGACCGAAGTGTCTGGAAAAACTGACATTTAAAGTTTGTTCTTGACCGAAGAAAACAGCAACCGAGGAAACATATCTGAAGCTTTCAGCCTTCAATAAATGTCAAACTCATTTTACGACAAAGGCCATATACAACCAAGTGACGACTGAAACTCCACTTTGTCAGTGTAAAGATACTTAACTACACATTTAATCTCTGTGATATCTTAAACAACCGGAACTTTCTCTTATTTAATTGTTAATCTATTACTTAGTTGTAGTTTAAATGGCTGTGGGGGAGGTCTATCAGTAGAAAAAGATGTAAAATGTATAAAAATTACAGTTTAAAAAAAAAAAAAAAGGTCCAAAAATGTACACTCTCCTTCATATTTTCCAAAGCTGTCCTGCAGGCCGGATTGGAGTCTTTGCCAGGCCAATACTGTCCCCCTGCACTAATATATAAAAATAAAAAAATCAAGTGATCTCTATAAGTCTTCCTTTTCTCCACATACATCTACAGCAGTTCATGATATGATGGGTGTATTGCTGGGGAGTAAGTGCAGTCAGGTTTGGGAAAACATGAAATCAAACTACTCACAAACGTATTGTTGACAGTGTAATGTATTTTCACATGGTTGCTTCAATACACATAATTTCACATATAACAGTACCGTGAACATCTCCTCCAATTAATTTTAGCATTCCCCTTTTGTTCCAATAAATAGGGGGGGGGGAGGTGACATTATTTGGTCCCGATGCACATGCAGCTGGCCGTAGAGCTGCTGCATACAGACATGATGGTGGAAATGGCTTGTTGTGTTTCATGTTAAACATTCAGATGCGCACACGTCAAAAGGCACAGTAAAGGTTTCCTTAACAAAAAGAAGAAGAAGAAAGAAGAGAGGTGGATGTCTTTGTTCACACTTTACCCGTCAAATGCACGAGGGCACGTCTGTATGAGTCCTGTGGCTCCAGCAATGCAAAAAACAGTGACACAAAAACTCAAAACATCTGAAGCATCCAACAAGAGACCTACTCTGGATGTTTTTGTGTTGTCTTAAACGCAGGATTATCCGTCAGTCAGTCCTATAGACTAACTCACGTAATCTGATAATCACTCAGTAACTAAACTCACATAATCCTCCACACAACAGTCAATATTGTGGTTCTAACAGTCCGGGTCAACTCAAACAAGAACCCCGAACAACAACAACACCCGTGATGGGGAATCAGTTTCACTTCAGGCTGTCGGGCCTCTGAAACATGTCGTTTCCAAATCTGCTTGTATGTGTGCAGAGAAGTTTGTCCAGGTTTGAAATCATTTCAGAACATTACCGAGTGAAAATGGAGAGGGCGACGCATTTTACGGTGCATTTCACCAACGTTTCAGTACCTGGGGCGAAACATGGAGGCGATCCCGTGAGTCTGACTGTTTCACAGAGTTGGAAATGTAGTACAAATCTTAATTTGATCTGAGAAAAGCAGCCCGTGAGATCACTGCTAAACAAATACAGTTTTCTTGTGTCCATTTTTTTTTTTCACAGATTAAATTAAAAAAACAACAACAACAACATACAGTTTAGGCACCGCTGTGTTACCAGACAAATACGATCAAATAGTGATTAAAAAGTAGAGCTCAAGTAAAAATTTGTTCGTGGCATTGGCATACGGAGAAGTGGCTGTAAAAAGATCATGCATACACGAGCTCATAAAAGCAGCATGACAACTTGCTTTGGTAGCTGAGGGTCAAAAAATGTCTCATTATTTACAAAGTTGATTACAAGCAGTATTCAAAGGTACAACGAGGCATCTCTGTAAAATGCCTCTGTTTAAGGCAACTAGGTGCTGTAGACTGAAACGTGCCTTAACTGCTGTTAGTACTTGGATCACATCATTAACTTTAGCAATACATTTCACTGCTCCGGAGACTATCGACATACCAAGTGCATATGCGCAATGGGCAAATACAAAAACAAAAAAAAAAATACAGCAGCAGACGGCGTCTGTAGTGTTAATCCAGTGTTACCGAAAACAAGGAAGCATCTGAAATGGGCTACAAGATGCTCGATGTCCCGCTGTGGTATCGTCGTCCACAGAGTTAAAGGGAAACGACTGTCAGACAGAGTCGTTCAAACCTCCTTCTTTGACTCGGCTTCTTTACTTCAACACGACTCTTCATATACACTGAAGGAGTCTCTCACTCCGTAGATCTTTTGGATCCATCAGCTCTTTGCAGTTTTAATGTCCTGAGTGCCTTTTCCTTTTTTATGTTCATCAGTTAGCAAATTAACATTGCAGGTCGTACCAGACACAGAGGACTAAAAAAGGACTGGATATGTTTTATGGAAGGAGGAAAGTCACCTGACTTTTGAGGACGAAGTGATCCAGTTCTGGTTGCATGGAGTTTGAGTAGAAAACAATAAAAAAAATAAAATAAAAAAAAGAGAGAGAGATTTAAAAGTGCCCACCCAAATGACTGATCACATCATTGCTAGTAGGCCGTCAGCACAGGCAGTTTGATAATTTAGATGTCATCTGTGGCCTCCAGACTAGTTCACCACATGTTCGATGTCGTGGTCTATGTCGTATTTTTCACAAAACTTGTTTGTGATCGGTAAGCAGGTCAGATGCTCCAGCCAGTGCAAGTTAATTCGGCGAATATAAAACCAAACGATGAGGGAAGCGAACAGTCCAACGTAGGCCAATAACGAGACGGCGATGAGGATACGTTTCCGGTACTTGTCGAATGTCCCGAAGGTGACGTAGGGCAAGAAGGCAAACGAGAGCAGGAGGCCGCTTAGGAAACCGAAGATGTGGGCGATGTTGTCGATCCACGGCAGAAGGCCGCACAGGAAGAGGAAGAGCATGATGCACGACAGTTTAGAAAAGGCTTTCCAGGGCTTCTCCAGCATCTGCCAACCCTGAAACAGCTCAACAAAGAGGCAAGCGAGGAGCCCAAACTGAGACCCCGCTGGACCCACCTGTCAGGAGAGAGAGAGAGAGAGAGAAAAAAAAAACAAGTTACACAGGAACTAAAGATTCCTGCAGCATGCACGCTGCTTCACACAGTGTGCACAGAAAACCTAAACGCCTGACGCACTGGACCAATGCATGATAAGCATCAGGTGCTTTTAGTGTGTCCTGTTAGGAGGCAAACAGGATGTCAGGGTGACTCTAACTGCTCCACTTAATTGGCACATTACACAGGCTCACAGATGGTGGTAGTAGTGGTGGTGGTGGGTGGGAGAGGGGGGACAACTCCTGGAACAACTTTCCAGGAGTTGTCAGAACTGTAAAATTTTATTTATTTTTAAAAAAATAAAAACACATTTTAATAAGATGATTTGTCGAACTGTGTTATTTGCAGAGGAAACCATTAAAGTGAACTGTGTTTGTTTAAATGTGAACCAGGTCTCTGAATTAATCAGTGATTTAACAACAGCAAATAAAGTGCAACAACCAGTTAGCTCGCTGACAGACAGACCAGGCAGACGCGCCGTTTAGGCCCAGAGGAGCAAAGATTTAACCTGATTACCGAATCCTGGCAGCAAGTACCAGGATAGTATTTTAAGTAACAATTATTTAAATCGACTCATTATGAGTGACACTAAGAGGCTTAATGCAGTGTAAACTGTAGTTACTGTAAGTAAGGTAAGGATAAAAACTCACCAGCATCTCTCATAAATTATTCTTTAAAGCAAAGCAGACAGAGGTTCAGAGAAGTTTCTAAGCGACTCTCAGTGCATCCATACTGAAGCTTTCTAACCGTAATGCAGGTTTAGTTGTGCACAGATTATCTTATGTTAAAGATCCAGTTCTGGGGAAGATGTGCAGTATGAGCCCAGGGTCACGCAGTAAAGGTGAGCAGATTAAGGTGACGTCAAAGCTTGGCCTGGTGAGAGGCAGATGGCTAATCGGCAAAGACATTAAACACCCACAAACATTTTTTAAAAAAAGAAAAAAAAGTGCACGGCAGTCCACCCACACGCTCCACACACGCAGGCTGACACGCTCCACACACGAGTCGTCGTCACTGTTAAGACCGACAACACCGGGGCTGGAACAGGAACTGAGAGGATGTCTTAGTTAACCGAAGTGAGGATGTGCCGATCTGAAGTGGGGAATGTGCTCACAGATATCCCACTTCCCTTATTTCAGGTTCAGATTAAAATCCAATTTTTTGCTCCTTTAAGAAAAACGAGCTGCTGTGAATTTTAAACTCGTACTGTTCTGGTTTCTACATTAATTTGACACAAACAGTCAGAGTCAAAGTGACTGATACAAACCCCTCATTCAGAAGTAACCTGCTCACTGCTCTCAAACTGAATCAGAAGCTTTGTGTGTTCCCGTATGACTCTCTCATAATCACCTAAATGTTTTTGTACAAATAATTTAATGAATTATATTAAGAAGTGTTCTGACAGACAGACACTCCTCTCCAATTTCTCCTTGAAAGTAACGTATATAATCTCCAGGTATCCCTTTATATTTCTCCAGAAACCACTCTTCAAATTCTTTCACTCAAATACCAAGATAAAGAAGAAAACGTCAACACGCTGACTTTTGCACTGTTTGGATTGTTTTTCCTGTTGTTTAAAGCTTTTAGGTTTCACATTCTCACAGTGTCAGGATTTAATTAATTCTAAAATGTCAAGTCTATTAAAGTCTGAGCGTGAACAGCTTTAATCTAACTGAAGGCAGGTAAATGTGTTGTAATAACTCCACAGTGAATTACTTCTATACTGTTAAGCAGCAGGACAGGAAGCACCTAAAACGGAGCCAAACAAAAGTTTAGAACTGAAACAAAAACTCAACATAATATATAAACAGTGGACATAATATTAGTCAAGCTGACTCTATTTGTTACAGTAAAAGCAATAAAAACATCGTTTTAAAAAGTTATCCGTTTTAAAGACACCAAACC